CAAGGTTAAATCAAAGTTAACCTGAAATCAAATTTGACCTGTAACAGGTATGCTGTTAGTAAAATCCATTCTCAGGTGAGATGAAATCAAACATTGACTGAAGCAGCTGTATGGTGCATCTTAATATGCTAACATCCAATCTCACCTCTCTGGTTCCTCTGCAATTCGGCCACTGGTTGCAAATGAGGAAAGTTGGCACAATTTATTCATTACCACTGCTTTAAAATAATTTGTTTATTTTTACAGAAAAAAAGAAATTATTTGGTTTTCTACAGGATAAAAGAAATTGTGAAATAAAAAAAGTAAACTACCTTCTCCGCTGCTGAGGGTTGACCCACCATAGATGTCTAACAACAGAAAAGAATAACCATAGCCAAATACCAAAAACGTCATCCCAACCAGAACAACAAACTTTAGAACAACTTCCAGTGTTTCAGAGGCCATTTTTGCTGACTTTTCGGCTTGTTGATTAGCATAATTTCCGCGAACCAAGGTATGTGCGAAAAATGTGTAATAACTTTCCTCAATGGGCATGAAAACACATCTGGCAACTAACGAGCCGAGGTTGTTAATAACATCATAGATACCCTGCTGAGAAAATGTTAACACTCTGAACAGAGTCATGATATACCGTTCCCCCTCAGTCAAGATTTTCTTTAGGAAGGATTGTTTGAAAAAGCTCCATGTAAGATGCACCATACCCCAACTTACAACACTCAAACCAGGAATTCTTCTGGGGAAAAAGTCACGGACAGATTTCAGAGGGAAGTCATTCATGGCGGTTTCCTTTTCTTTGGGGACCTTTTGAATGTAGTATAAAAAGTATACATAATACAGAGTCATGGATAATATTGAGAAAGCCATTTGTGCCAGGCAAAATGAAACAATTCCGAGATCTGGAAAGAGCATTACAAGAGCTAGAGTAATCACACATCTGGCAAAGTTTGCGATGCCTTCTATGATGACTTTGAGGCGTAAAAACACAAACGCTTGAGCCAACACCCATAGTTGTTCGGATAAAAGTTCGAAGGAGCCGCTCGCAGCGAAGGCGAAAACGGCCAACGGGTAGTTTGGAATCTTTTGTGGATCGGGAACTTCTAGTTGAAGCAGCCAAACGTAGCCAAGGACAAAAGATAAAATTACACCGAGAGGGAAAACACACCAAAGAAGATTGATCACTTGAACCCAATTCTTGTCCTGCGTCTTGCTAAGGCAAGCTTTTCGGAAAGCTTCTCTGGCAACGAACACGATAGTTTGGTTGAGAAGCATTAATCGCACGTTCACAATTCCGATCATGTCTTTCGTGGTGAAACGAAGAAGTACACCGTTCATTACGAAGGTAAGGATTCTAAAAGTAACCTGTAGAACAACATTATACGAGGCGGAACGAACTGTACTTCCAACCAAACCTTCCTTCTCGTCCGCCATTTTGTCAAGTTAGTTTCCCAAATATATCAAACTCGTTCATTGGTCAATCTCTACTAAATTATCCAATCAGTGGTCTTTTTATATTTCGATTACTTTTCGGAAGTCCGCTGAACTTTTGCTCACGGTCTCTTTGAGTCTTTATTAATAAAAGAGCAATTTTAATTGGTTTATAACATCTTCTTTTGTTCTAAATAACCAATAAAAACGTTCGTTTCTATTGCACTAGCAGTCTGGGTCACACGTGGCAAAACACAGATTTTTGTATTTTCAGAAATTTGTACTCGCAGTGGTTTAAATAGTAAACACGGAACTTTTCTGTGTCATAAATATGGCGAAGGAGAAGCCGTGGTTAAACAGCCTGCTCTTTCTTACATTTGTAAGTATCTTTTCGGTATCAACTTTTACTCGGAAAGGAAACAATATATATTTTTTTTATTAACTAGTGCATGTAACGCGTTGATTGCTCTTTTCCATGACTCAAATTCCTGTTTTTTTTCTTACAGTTTATCGGACTATCCTTACAAGCTAAGAAGAAATATGATAGGAGCTCCATAATTCAAGTCAACGACATAAAACCGTTCAAAAAATTACAAAGAACCCACACGAATTTACTGGTTTTGTTTGCGCAGAGTGGTAGGTCACCGTTCATATGCAAAACAGTGATTGGATTTTAATAAATTTTCAATGCAACTTGACCCCTTTTCTTTTAGCTTTTGTATAATTGGACTTCTCCTGTTTCGAAGTTTTATGGAGCACTTTTGTTTCCTTTCATTTCCTTGTTTTCGCTGGATAAGGTGATATTGATTTAGCTGGCTTTCAGAAGTCATTTATATTTGCACATTATTATTTGAACCCGGCTGGATGATAAAATGCGTTCAAGTCGATATCTACAAGATTTTTGATATTTGATTTATTATCAGATTATTCAAGAAAGGAGCCTTTATAAAAAAACAAGTTAATCTTCATTAAGATCTTAAATCCTTATTATTATGCATGAACATTTTAATTAGGGTTATTATCCAGTAACCCTGGAAACTTAAGAAAGATAATGGCATATGTACCATATTCATTTTGATTGTTAATTACATCAAATAAATCATATTGCTGGTTTGCACGTGACGTTACGGCAGCTATGTTGGTGGTCAAGAACAAAAGCAGTTCTCTCCTCTGGGAACTAAACTCTATTTTCATGTAAATTCTTCGAGAAAAAAATTTAATTGTTTTGACCCCCAACATGGCCATCCTGTCATGTGGTTGCACACCAAGAATATGTAAACTGTACTGAAATAGATGCAAATATGTGGCTGTGATCCCTCTTGTTTTACCTGATCCACCAAAGGGGCTGAGTTTTCAGGTTAGTCAACCTGAAAATAATTTATTATTATTGTCTCATTCAACTTTCAATATTTCCACATTTTCACCAATTTTTAACTAACTACGAGAGAACGACTGGAGAACTGACAATTTGACTAACAATAGACGACCGTTTAATTGTGACAATAGACGGATTGAAACCCACCAATTACTGATTGCGAGTCTTCATAGCCATTAACATCACGGCTTAACTGACAGACGACCAATAACATCGCAACATAATTGACCAATCAGATCAATAACCAGAGTATAATACCATCAACTGACGTGATACAACTCACTTTGACTCTGAAGATGACTACCGCACAGGTTGTCGTAACGTCAGTCACCGTCAACAACAACAGTCCTATTCATGAACTACGTTCACCCGGACGATCAAACTCTACCTACTTTTGGAATTTTTATTTTCTTTCAATTTCTTTGTTTGACAAGCAAGTTTATCTCAATTAAATAAATTTTAAACTAATTACATAGTATGTTTTTCAATAATGATTACTGGACTGACAAACTCAAAAAACCATTAACACCTGGTAAGTATTTCTGGAACGTTGATTGTTTACTGACAAATACTGGCCAATGACATGGAAGTTAAGGACTCACAAAACAGACAACAAAACCACCGCCCAGAGAAGTTATAGGTGATTTACAAAAAAGTGTTCTGTGTCTTTATGCAAGAGTTAACTATAAATTTAAGACAAGTGAACTGAAAAATGTAGAGAAACTGGTGAAGCAAAAAAGTTATAGAAAGTTGCAGGCAATTATTGCCTAATGTATATCTTACAGGTCAAAATCATATTCGGGTTAAAATTCTTTAACCTGGGGATGATTCTTAATTTTCTTTGTCTCCTAGCCCTAATTCATGATTGAATAATATTTTATTAGAGCTAGGAGACTTTTTTAGGAAAAAGAAAAACACCCTCCTAGGTTAAAAATTTTAACCTGAATATAATTTTGACCTGTAACATATATCTTCATCTTCTAAGAGTAACTTACTTGCTAAATTAACCAATCAAAGTGTACATAAGTTATTATTGGGCATGAGATAACAGTAAATCTATAAATGATATTACTTTTGTACAGTGAATGATTCTTATAAGAACTGCCTGGTAGAAATGATTCAATAATTTCAACAATATTTATTTCAGAACGTGATGCTTTAAAAAAGTTTGATGTTCTAGCAGAAGTTGCAGAAGAAATGAAGGGCAAAGGAACAATAGCTCATGTAAATTGTGGGTGAGTTGTACGTATGAGTTGTTGCATTAAGGGTGTAGCCTGGCAAGATAGCCTGACATTTCTCAATATAGCCTGAGTGCACTCTCTCTAGGGCTTTGGCGGTGGGGCAGGAAAAGGAAGGAGAGCTTGGAACTACGTCTCTGGAATTTGAATCGTGCCTCCAATTCCCCTGTTGCTCCCTGTTGACTGAGCTGTCAGATTTCCGCCAATCAGCACAAAGCGGAAACAAACCCGAATGCGCACAGGGAAAAAGACGTGAAAGATCATCACCAATGTCATCTCTGCCAGTCAACATTTCTCATGGAGTTGATGCAGATATTCAAATTCCAGAAACATAGTTGCAAGCTCTCCTTCCTTTTCCCTCCCCGTTGTAAAGCACGCCAGAGAGCTCGCTCGCAGGCTATTCTCAATACTACCACTGGTTTCGCTGCCAAATGACATCTGAGGAACAATAGCACAGTTATTCCATACTGATGATGTATCACTACCCAGAACTTGGGCCCTGTTAGGATAAAATTCTGACAAGTGACAAGGCCTTGAAACATCGACTTAAGACTAGATAAAAAATGGCAACAAATGACATAAAGATGACAGGGACATGGCGTTCGCTTCAAACTGCAAAATAACCGTATTTGAAATTCAGTCTGTAGGGAGATTCTTCAGTCTTAATCCGCTCAGTCCTAAACCATTTCTGACATACAAATCTGTCGGCTAAATCCTATGTTGACTTGTTACCATTCCAATAACACATGTTAAAAGTAGATTAATAGAGAAATTCATCTTTTCTTAGGGAAAGCAAAGATGCCAAAAAGTTGTGCAAGAAGCTTAAAGTTCCACCTCAACCAGTCGTGTTAAAACATTACAAGTGAGTGCAAATCTAGTTATGCCATAATTTCCTTTTTTTCTCAGTCTGTTCGTGTAAGTCTCTATAATAGTTTGCAGATTTTGCCAGTTTGTCTCTCTGTCAGTTATGTCAGTACGCTGTACATTTTTTTTCTTTTTCAGAGATGGGAACTTCAATAAAGATTATGATAGGAAATTTGCAGTAAAGGTGATTTTTCTTGGCATCATTGTGATGTATCTGTTACTGATCAAATTTGATTTCAGGTTAAAACTTTTAAACCTAGGTTGATTCTCAATTTTTTTGTTTATAGCCATAGCTTTATAGGCAAAAAAGGAAATTGATAATCAACCTATGTTAAATCAAAATTAACCTGAAATCAAATTTGATCTGCAACATACATGCAACAAACATCAATATCAAATAATAAAGAAAATGGTGGATGTCAAAGTTAATTAATTAGAGATTTGAGTTTTGAATAATTGAATATCAGTAGATGGTGTTCCTGGGTGCTTGATTTTATGTAAATTTGCTAATAAAATAATAATTATTATTTGTTTCAGTCAATGATAAATTTTTTAAATGATCCCCTGGGTGAGATGCCCTGGGAAGAGGAAGATGGAACAGAGGATGTACGGCATGTCAACACTAACATGGTTGGTAAATCAAGGCTGTGCTCTTAGGAAAATTAAAGAGAACCCATGTCGTTGCTCTAAACCAGTAGAATTTTATGATTTGTCTGAAAAAACTAACATTTTCTAGTTGGCTGAGAGCGAGAGTTGAGTGTCTGGGGCCACTGGGTTCTGCTAAAGCACAGCCCTGTAAATGTGGCCCATTGATTGATGTCTTAGGCTTAAGGCTAGTTACTTTTTATACCGTAAATCCTCTATTAATCCCCCCGGGGTCTTAATAGAGATGGGGGGCTTAATTAATTTAGGAAAGGTGATGGTATTCGATCAGTTCTCCAAAAATAACTAGAATACAACGCGGAGAAGCTCAAGGACAAGAAGGTTGGAGGTCATGCAGCCAAGGATCAGGATCAAAATTAATCTGAACTTCCAGTTGGTAAATAAACCATCCCGGATCAGTCTGCATGATGTTTAACAGTTGTGATTGATTAATACAGTCTTATTTATTTGTGAAGAATAATAAGGGGAGAGGAGGGGAGGGGGGGCGGGCCTACTAATTCTCTTCCCCTGAAAAGGGGGGTGCTTATTAGATGGGGTTGCGGGGGGGGGGGGGCTTAATAGAGGATTTACAGTAGTAATGTACTTTCCCTTAATTTGGAGAGAACTCCCCAGCTTTAAGAAGGCCATCACCCATTATAAAAATATTTGCTTATCTACAGGAAATAAATTTTCTTTCAACTGGTATTATGGGGTCTATTTAAGACAGACATCTTCCAAATCCTATTTTAAAACTATAGCTAGTTTTAAGTGGCCTCTGCAAAAAAGTGGATTTTTTCTACCTCCTTTTGACTGGAGCTGAAGTATCCTCAACAATGATGAAAGTGATCTAAGATATATTTTGGGGAGCCTCTGGGCCAGTACCTATTTCCACTAACCCATTGTTAGGAGCATGGTGCTTGGGTGCAGCAGCATGTATTATACTTTTGCGGTATAATTATAATATTTGTTTATATTTACTTATTATTGGAAAATAAATTTACATGACAGATACAAATTGAAACTTAACGGGACTGTTAAGTAGTCGATGAGGCAACAACTTTGCCTCTCTTTTAAGGTGCAGGCATCCATGGTTAGTCATGCAACTACTTAAGTGACGTGACAGGAGACTGAGCAACACAGGCGCAACATTGTAGCCCTGGTCCCGGTTAAGGGCCGAGTGCCTTTGGTAAATCTGGAGGGCGTCCCTAATCTTTCTTGTTACAAGATTCTTTTGCCTCATCAAGATCCTTGCACTAGCTATCCAGTGAGAACTTGTGGCCAGTAGCCTTGTTGTGTTCTTGGATGGCTGAACTGATGGTGTACCTTCCATCTGTGTGCTCACAGAACTGGAAGTGAACACCAAAAGTCCTGGCTGTCTCTCCCACATATTCTTTCCAACCAGGGGCATAGCTAGCTTTTTGACTACTTGTAGGCATGGATGACTTTCATTTCCACGTATATCCTCAAAATTGCACGCATGACTAGTACACACTGACCTCACCAACACTTTGAGCTCTTAAGCTTTTTAGCGCAACCCGACAACACATAATTTATTACAAGTGGTAGAGGGATCAAACTAAAAAGATTGTAGGCCTGGACCTACAGGTCTATGGGCTGGCCATGGCCCCTGCTTTCCCACACTTATTGTGTTTCAGACAGCTACAAAGAGTATTCAAACAACACAGTGTGCATTCTTACAGCAAGACCTTCATCAAAGTTTTGAAAGACAAGCAGTAACCTCAACTCAACTCAACACTGTTACGAACATATCTAATGTTGAGCCCCTTCCAATGATGCTTCGTATTACGTTTACCATGCACCCTCTAACAATCATGCTCTATAGCAGCAGCTATATCTAGTAGCCCTTAGGGATAAGTCCACTAGCACAGAAAAATCATAGGGTGTAGTTTACAGTTAAAGGTCCTTCTTAAGTTTAACTTTGCTTCTGTGATGTAAACTTATTTTTCTAACTATATCCAGAAAACAAAACTTCCATGCACTAATTTGTTGTTGTTGTATAATGATAAGGAAAATAAGCCTTGATATTATGGTCTGTGTACTTTCAACAGGACTTTGAAAAGCTGACAAGAAAAGAGAAGAGACCTGTAATGGTTATGTTTTATGCCCCATGTAAGTAAAACTTTGAAGGATACAAATTAATTAATAAGTAGTGTTTTCCTTTCTTTCTGTGTGCTTCCAACACCAGTCATTTTAAGCAGTACCATGGCACCTATAAGTACATTGTACTCAATTGCCTGTGCACTTCATTTGAATGGAGAACAGCCAGCAAGTCTCTGAGCCTATGGCCACCATCCCATATAGTATATTTACATGCATCTCTCTCAGCAAAGGTTTACTTTTCTGCCAAAGATACATTTTAAAACTCTACACAGACCTTTCTCCACAATACTGACATCTCTGTAACAACTGAGGCTGACGTTTTTATCTGCAAGAAGTTGATTCACAAAGTAAATAGGGACCATCTTGATCAGAAACTATTTCATTAATTGTGAAAGTACATGATACATGTAGGTTCCCAGTTTTTGATTTGCAAAAGCACCCAGCATTTCTCAGCATTTAACCAGCTCTTGATCTACTCTACATAAAGTCAAATTAATGCATTGTCCAGTTGTAGTAATTTTAAAAAAACTGCAGTTTCAGAATCTTTTAAATATTAATATTATTTAAATCTATAGGGTGTGGCTACTGTAAGAAGCTGAAACCAGAATATGCTTTGGCAGCAACTGAACTGAAAGGAGAAGCAGTAGGTTTTTAAAATAATTATATTTCAAAATTATTGCCTTCTTGGTCTTAAATAAGTGTAAAATAACTATTTGAATTGACAGCGGTACCTCTATATACAGGATATGTGGGTATTTGCCTCTGTGAAGGGTATGGTTCTCAGGCAATTTAAGTGTGGCATAGGGTATAGAAATCAGTGAGTTTGGTTCTAGAATGGAGTAACATTTTCCTGGAAACTGATCAATTTGTTAAAGGTTATATAGTCTACACTAGAGACACCAGGAACTGACACTCAAAAAATAAAATACACTGTAAAATTGGCAAACCTAAATTTACCCACAACTCAGTTTAATTGCAAAGAAAGCATTGATTTCAGTTATTTCTGCAAAATAGTGACTCTAGGATAGGGGGAGATTTTGGGAGCTAGCAGATAGGGTAGCAAAATTCAGCCAAACTAGCTCTGGTATAGGCTAATAGTTCTGGGGTCCCAGTGGCACATCCCCACCCAAAAGTTCCTAAAGTACCTTTCCCAGGAGGGGTTGATCTCAATCGCTGTCATCAAGAGGCAGGGGCTGGGGATCTCCTCTGGCTACTAAGAACTTGGCCCCCAGCTACTTTCATAAGAAAACAGAAGAAAAATAGAACCAAAAGAAATCCCTGGCTGTTTGATTCCCTACCTACTGTTGTATAATTTTACCTGGCAACCTGAAATCTTAGTGACAGCCCTGAGTTGGGCTCAGTGCTACTACTCAAGTCTAGCTGGCACTGAATCAGTTGGGCTCACTAGTTGGTAGTCAAGTTTGGAGTTACAAAACAATGACCCACCTGGGTCTTTCATGGTTATATTTAGATGATGCAAGAAAGCTTTTCCTCCAGTAGAGTTTCTTTAAAAAAAAATCTTGTGTGTGTCTTGTAGATTATGGCAGGAATGGATGTGGACTCATATGAAGGATATACTGTAAGGGAGAAATACAACATCACTGGTTTTCCAACTCTTATTTATTTTGAGTAAGGCAACTTGCTATTTTAAAGTCATTTTTCTGATAAACTGATTAAACTCTGACTGTTGGAAAAGAAATCCAGTGTAATCAATATTTTTAAAGTAATGTTTATAGTATGCAATCCCATTTGGTATTGTGTGTGTTTCAATATTCTAAATGCACATTAATTTTATCTTAAGAAATGGTGAAGAAAAGTACCGTTATGGGGGAAAACATGATAAAGACTCTCTTGTGGAGTGGATGAGAAAGTAAGTTTGATATTTTTCCTGTGAACGTGTAGTACCAGTGCCAGTGTTGCAGTAGCTACATACAGCATAGGATTCTCTATTCCACTGATTACCGTAGTTCATACGTGTAAAGTTTATGTATCAGAAACAGAATAAAACACCACCAATTAGCCAGAGTGTTTAATTCCTAAATTAAGACTGTTCACCTACCAGAGAAAATGATCACCAAATCAGATGGGAAATCGGCAGTCCCCACAGACAATGTTCAACCTGTGTATATCCAAAGGTTTTCCAAAGTTTTAACATTGTATAGGGTGGGAAAGAGAGAACTGTAAAGATTCATGTGTACTGCATCACTGTTCCAAGGACCTTTGTCCAGGATGTAGTAATTATCGTTCTTGTTGTGTCTCGATGTAGTCCTGCTCCTGCCACCCCTCCCCCAAAAGAAGAAGAATGGAGTGATGTTCCCAGTGATGTTGTGCATCTGTCAGACAGTACTTTTGATGATTTTGTTGCCAACAATCCCTCTGTGTTGGTCATGTTTTATGCTCCATGTAAGTATCTTTTGCTCATAGAGTTTGTATGATGCATACAGTTCTTGTATTCTATGTGTTACAAAAGTTTACCAACCATCTTGGACAGGGTAAAAAGGAGAAGGGAAGCCCTCTTCACATCACAATCAAAAGGATGTGGCATTAAGACCAAAAGAAGCTCTTTTCTCTCCTTGATTTGATGTATTGTGAAGAGGGGTGATATGTATATTCCATTTATCTTTGTACAAGATAATGGTGATGCATGTTCTATGATCCATGTTAGTAAAAATACGATTTAAATATCTTTGCATGTTCTATGTTTGCTGGAAGTTCCTAGTGCTGTTCTACAAAAATACATACCGTTAATAATGTCAATACCGTGAACATGTGCTACTATGTTTGGGTTAAAAGAAGTGTCTGACTCTCATGGAATGCAAGTAATGACTCTGACTGCAGTTGCCAAAGCTGCAAGTCGCCGTTATTATATAATTCCAGATTTACTTTCATTGGTTTTTGGTTTCAAAGTCTAATCATAGTTGCACTTGAAATCGTGTGATGGTCATTCACTGATGATTTAGTAATTCTCTTTTTTACTTTTAGGGTGTGGCCACTGTAAGGCTATGAAGCCTGAATACACTGACGCCGCCAAGACTCTTAAGGATGAACAGGTCTCTCGCAAAGCTTCATAAGCTATAGCAAAGCGGCCTTCATACAAAATGACTGAGAATGGCACTGTCTAGTTACCACTTTCACCTGGGCTCAGTGCTATTCACATACCAGTCACCAGTCAAAAGGTCACCCCATTCTTTTGCCCACTTGCCTGCTTATTCACCCCAGTCATGTCCTGTTACCTTTTTAAGGCATTCACAGTCCAAATCCTTTCCCCTCTATTTCGAGCTTCTGTCATGGAACACCTGTAGTGTCTAGAAGCCGTTTCAAGCCGTATTGAACCGTTTCGAGCCGTTTTTAAGTGATCTTGAGAGGGATCTTTGTTTTCTACATTTGGGGGGGGGGGGGGGGGGGTTTGAAAAAAAAAAACCCCTGGAAAAATTTTTTTATATAGGGAATTTTTTTTTTTTTTTAACCTTTCTATTTTCTCTGTTTTTTTTTTTTTTTTTTTTTTTTGGTGGGGGTTTTTTTTTTTGTTTTTTTGTCTTT